GCTCCGCCTCTCTGCGCGCTTCACAAGCTAACTCCCACAATTAATTGTTGTTCCATGTTTTTTTAGATGATAAAAAATATTTTTACTGACAAAATGTATTCGTGCAATATGAAACAGTTCTCGCTCTAAATATGTGCAATAATGTAGAACTGTTTTTGTAATTTTTTAAACCTTGATATTTCTTCTGTAACAGCATAACGAGCATTTTTTGATTTTTTTTATCTCTCACATTTAATGATATACTTGGTAGAAAGTATTGTCACCCTTTCGATGAAATGTTCATAAGGATCAGCAAACAGCTTTCAAGTAAACCTACTGCTTTCAGCTTTACATTTATGTTTTTAATTTTTTAACTCTAAAAAAAAAAATTTAATTTCATTAAATTCTAATTAAAATATCAATAGTTACGAAATTCCTTAAGAATATGTATACATCTAACAGAATAAGTTGACTTATAATGATGAACTTCCTAGGGCAATACTTCCGCGGCTTGTATTATTGTATAATTAAGTGTAATTTGAAATCATGTATGTATTAGTATCTTATACGAAGAGAAATACAAATTCAAAATTATTACATAATTCATCACCAATATTACCGAAAAAGCTTTGCACATTTAAAACTTTATACTTACACATCAATTAACATGGAATTGATACAAGCTTATTTCTGATATAACGTTCAGTTATTTAAATAAATTAATTATTTGTTATTCGTATGCATACAGTATATTGGTGGAGCACAGTGGGGTGTTTTGATGGAAAATAATATCAGTAATAATGACAGAAACGACGTCTGCATTCATTTATCATATTATAAATATATATGCTTCTAGAGAATAATGTCTACTAACACACATACGTGTATGTATTTATTTATTTTCAAAGGTTAGGTCTCATCGTAGTTGGCTGATAAAAATTTATATGTGTGAGTAAGTATCGGGATCCGTGAAGGTTAGTAGGGTTTTCGTAAGATTCCACAAAAATGGCATAGGAGGTTGGGGAGGGGTTCGAGAAAACTTCTGCAGGGGACAGTGGGGATATGTTGGGTGGAAATGGGGGAAGGGTGGTAGAGGTTCTGGGCAGGAAGTAAGATAAGGCGAAGTAAGGGAGAAAAAGTCGGAATTGTACCGTGTTTAGTGGGTAGGTTGTGCGAGTGGTAGAAAGTTCACAGGGTCTGTGAAGGGGGCTGTAGAGGGGCTTTTAAGTGTTTGTGTGGAGTGTTCACATGACCAACTATATAATATAGGGAGATACACATGTATACAGGAAGTAAAATACATGTTACCAAGAAAGCGAACTCATATTTACTCATAGCAGCCCTGTGTTACCCAGCTATTACACTCGGAAACTCCTAGAGACATCAGTTAACGCCCCGAGGCAGTGCACTCATGATTATCCGCAGTACCCCCCCCCCCCTCCCTGTGTTAGGCATTTACTACACTGTGACACTTCTGAACAAACCAGTTAACGTCTCCGAGACAGCATACTCATATCTACCCGCAGCGCCCCTTGTATTTCCCAGCTACTATGGAAGAATACTTCTGGGGACACTAGTCGACAATACCGAGGCAGTGCACTGATATGTTACTGCGCATGTTGACAAGGCTACATGTAAAGTAGTCGATAAATCTAATGATGATATTTATATCAATATCTTAACGAGAGTTTTAAATAATATTAGATGAGGTCTTTCTTTACACGAACTATTTTTAAAGTAGGAGCGGTCGTTATTATGATAAAAAATATAATTATTAGCGATTGACTTTGTGATGGTACTTGATTGAAAATAAAAAAATTGTATTCATTTGTTATTGAAGTTAAAATTATTACTAGTAAAACGATTCGAACTAATATTTTTCTATCCTGAATCGCATACTGTTCTTCAACTAATACTTCTTCACCTTTTGATTTACATAAAAATTGGTTTCCCATAATATAAGCATTTTCAACGACCATGAATAAATTTCAAAGACGAAGTTTTCATAAAAATGGTACTTATTGTAATAAAACATTATTTTCTCATTTACAATAATATTTAGCATTGTCCAGATGCTAAAGTCCAAATAATTTATTCATTTAATTACAATCAAATGATAAAAATACTGTTTAGAACATTGTTTAAAAAAAAATTCTTGCAGATGACAATAAAACACTTTTGAGTTTTACGAAAAATTCCATTTAAATTACTGGAATTTGTGTAAAAAATTAATTTTTTTTTTTTGTACAGGCAGTAGAAAGTAAAGTAGGCCTATTTTTCTTGGTATTAATAAAATAGTCTTAATAGAGCAAATCTAGTAACTTTTGTTATGGAATAATTAAGGTAACTTTCAGCTACAATATTGCTTATGGTACCAAGGTAAATGGGAAAACCACATTAAAAAGAAGTGCTCCTTAATGATTATTGGAAAAGTGGAAAAGACATTATACAGATTATACATTTGATTTATAATTTTTTTGTGTACAAATTGGTAAAAAATTGAAATTAATTGTATACTAATAATTAAAAATTGAATTTTTTAACAGCTTACTAAGTTTGCTTCTCCTATAATATTGAAAAAAGCTGCTGCTTGAAGTGTAAAAAATTTCTAAGTATTTAAGCATATGGCTAAAGGATGAAGTGAATTAAATGTAAAAAAAAAATCATTTGTATATGAGTATTCGACATGAGCTAAAACCAAAAATAGTGTATAACTTGTTAAAGTAACTTTAAAATATTTATGAGTAAAAGAGTTGAAACTAAACTAATAATGTTAAAGTTGCACTATGTCTTTCAAATAATGTTCTTTTATTTTTCGTGTTGTGTAGAAATCAATATCCATAATATGAGTATTTACAATGATTATACAAAAATTTTGACTTCATGGTTTGGTTAAAATAATCATTAATTTTATTATGAAAAATCTTATGCAAAATTGTACACGTACAGCAAGCTAACATTATTATTAGAAATAACGTTTTAAAAATTTTGATTTTATAAAGTTTTAATATAAAAATTAATGTAAAAGACGGTCAAATATGTTACAATAAGTATTACAATTTTTGTATCGAGGGTGTGCACAGATAATGCATAATTATTCATGAATCCTCTCACGAAAGAATCCTTGGCTTTTTGACGTGAAGAAGTCATCGAGCTTCTTTTGCACTTCTTCAAACGTTTGAATTTGTACACCTTGAAGCGCATTATTCATGGATCTCAAAAAATAATCATTACTTACTGGTCTGAAGAGTATACCACGAAACTTCCCAGCTAAGAGATATTGAAATTTGACGGACAAGTTTTGCAAGGTAAGGTCTGGCGTTGCCATACAACAAATTCACTGGACGTAGTCTGCAGCCAGTAAGTAGCCGTTTTTCATTCAACGTTTCACTCAAATGGTTTAGTTATTAGTATTAACATTTTGCTATAACGGCTTGCTTTAGTTGTAGCAGCTCATAATACGAAATTTCCTTGCAATCCCACCAAGGACAAAGCATTACTTTGTATGTAAAAATTTTGCATTTTGGAGTTTACGTGGAGGGTTATCCGAGATCAACATATGATTATTTTCGCTTTGGATTATCGAAATTCACTTTTAATCTCGTGTTATGATTTTTTACGAAAACGACTTCTTACGATGTTTAACAAGGAAAGAATGGCAAGTATCGATTTTTTCGTTTGTTTTCGCACTGGAGCTTTAGAAATAGTAGTTTTCCTACGAGTTTGAAGAGTCTCTGTTTGCGAACCGAGACGTTTGCGGCCCGAGCCGAAGGCGAGGGACGTAACGAGGTTCGTAAAGGAGAGTTTTCGAACGAGTTCCAGAAAACTGCTTTTTCGCCCGAGGAAGTAACAGCCTCCCAAAACCACCCGAGGGCGGAAAAATAATTTTTTACATAAAATGTAGGAGAAAATGATCGAATTTCTTTGGGTAATAGAGAATGTTTAAGGAGATTTAGAGGGGGGTGAGGGGCTCATAAATAATGATCAGGAAAAACACGTAAAACTACAAATAATTCACCCTTTAATTATGGAAGTTCTTTAAGTACTTGGTCTATGAATTACTGCATAGAAATAAAATTGTAGTTAATTTCAAAAGAATCATTCTCATAAGATCTAAAGGTTTTATGCTAGAAAATTTGGTACTGAACTCCAGGATTGGTGGTGCCACCTAAGATGTGCTTGTAGTCAATACGCATGATTCTGGAGCTGCTTCGATCAGTTGGAGTACCTTAAACGAATGAATCTATTATTTCAACTGACCAAGCTACAAGAGATACAACTCTGATTTTCCATATCTCTAATTCATACTGATTTAATACGCCAATATAAAAGGCTTTAATTTTCAACTCTTCGACATCTTAAGTAGTAAAGCACAAAGTCAGACACTTAAAAAAATTGGTAGTGTTTGCAGTCGAAATATTTTTGTTATGGATTATTACATTCAGCACTTTTTTAAACAGGTACTTTAATGAGTTAATATAGATTTTTTCGGATTTTCGATCTGGGGTGCTGCATTATATTCTATTGTATTCTATCTTCGTATGTTTTATTGTCCTGGAATAAAATACTAATAATATTATTTCCCAGAAGTGTATTTATGTTGGTATAGGTATATTTTTGCGTTTTTTTGTATTACCAACGTTACACTCCGATCTATAGTAGTATCATACATATAGGAGTGGGGCACCTACAAGCCCGCGCGTGCCATGCTGCGCTATTGCGGTACCTATACGAATACCGACAGATCCGTTGCGGTGTTCGACCTGTGAGCATCTCGACCGCCTTTTTTCTTTTGTACACCAATACATTTTATATAACAAATATACTTAACATATATTTATTTGGTCTACCTCAAGTCTCTCATACCTATCCTCCTCGCATACCAATAATTTAATATATCACTATACCCTGATGACAAAAAAGAATAAAGAAAATGAAAAATGAACAAAACAAAAAAAAAAATTTTTTTAACTCCAATTTACCTTTTGAGCCAAAATTTATATTTTTATCGAATTTTTAAAATGATATCTAATAGTAATACTCTGACTTTAGATAGAGCCGAAGAAGTCATAATAAAAACTGTCTTAAGGAATACGGAAAGAGGTAAATATACGTGAAAAAACTAATTATAAAAAAAAATTCCGTCAGTCTCTAATACATTTCAAACAATGTAAATACAGGTACTTTTCGCTTTTAAGTTAAAATTAAAGTATTAAAACCACAATTTATAACAGTCTGATTACTCTAACGCCATGAGCTTTTTACCTTCTGTAGATTTAAAAATAGTCTTCTCTGATGCTTTTGTTTGTCTTTCAAAAGTTTTTGTTTCATTCTTTCAACAGCTACTTGGGGTTGATACAAAGATCTACTTATAACGAATGTACGTAATTTAACTATAATTATTATAATAAGAATCTAGCATCATTCAAGTATTACAAGTAATGCCCTTATACATGAATATACATGCTTAATTATTACAACTTTTACGTATGAAATGTTTCAGGGTCATTGATTTGCGGAGGCTTATTTTCACTAGAACCTCTTTCTAATTGGTTTTCGGCTGTTGCTTTATCTCATGCGCTTATTGAAGACGTTAATCACAAAGAGCAACTGTTGGCTGTACTTCTTGCCACAAATATTGGTACGCCGCCTGTGACATTAATGCAACAGTGTATTACATTACTTCGACAAAGTAACAATATTCAATCTAATATTGGAATAGCAATGTTAGTATGTACATGGATTTCATATTGTCCACTGGCAGTTGAACGTTTCCTAAGTATCGATACATGTATGCCTCATTTGATGGCTTTCCTATCCTCTAACGAAAGCAATGATGACCAATATGAGACAATACTACAAAGTGTCTACGCATTTCTCATAGCTATCTGTGTTCATTTTAATAATAACACTGTGCTAGACTACACAAAGGTATTAAAAAATTAAAGTATTTTCATTCTTTTTTCCTTACGATGCTTAGTATTAAAAAATAAGACGAAATAAAATAACATTTGAATAAAAAATATAATATTTTTAACAATGAATTTCTACAAAAAAATCTGTACAAATCTCTATGTAAATGGCATTTGGTGATATTTAGTAAATGTGAGTAAATATTTTATAAAATTCTCCCTTTAAAAAATTTGTTATTATTAAGCATTCTCATGAAACCTTGACACATCTCTGTAAGAAGAGTTTGACTTTATTTTATATCGTATTCTTTTAAGTATCAGAATAATAACCATGCATACAGCAAAAATTTTTTCAATGTATGTTTTGCAAGTATGGGTACTACATTTTTCCATTCCTACAACACTATGCTCAATTCTACTACAAGCTTAAAATCTTTCTTAGTAGCTTAGAAAGTGCAAGAAACAGGTGTGATTGAAACAAAAAAGAACAAACATCGTTCCTTTTTTCACCATTGGTTTAAGCATTTGTAATAATGATTCATGATTTCAACGGACACGACTGATGCTTGCTTCGTATGTGTTTATTTGTAGATCATTGTTAAGTAAGCATATAATACGCTAGTCTTAGCTAAATTGGGCTGAGTTCACAAGCACCCTGCACTAATGGGTTCTATAAGTAATTGAAAACAAAACGATGATAAATTTCTATTGTTTCAACCCTTCCGTTTTCCTATTTTTTTGAGCTACCTAATTAATTTGAAGCAAGTAGCAAATTTGACTTGGCATTTGGTTGCATCGAAATGTCTAGTTGCAGTACGCATCCTTGCTATCGTAGAGTTAAAAATGTTGGTCTCACATGAATTCATGTTTTTAACTATTGTATATAGCAATTAATTTACAATTTTAGAGCAGTTATGTATGTCATAAACAGAATTTTAAAAATAAGTTTTTTTTAATTATTTCATACGTACCCTTGAAAGTAAAACAAACATTTATAAAAACAAATAACTGTAACATCTCTTTCAAAAATTTTATTAAAATCGACCAAATTCATCTTTGATCATATTAACCAAAAATTATATTTTATGAAAAAAAAAAAAAAAAAGAAAAGAAACGATGAAAAAGTTAAAGTCGAAGAATTGAACACAGTATTGCTGGATTTCAAGCTTTCTCCTACGCAGCCTGAACCTTCATATATAAACATAACTTAAAAAATCGTTTTTTTTTATCACATAACTTGTCTTTGCAAATAGGATTCATTGCCACATATAGAAAGTCATTCTATGTAAACAAAACGAAACGTAATTGGCTCTAAACCTGATTACTAGGAAAAACTAACTTCAAAAACTTTTCAAGTATGTTTCAAGTTTTTTTTTGCATTCTGTACAATAAATACTAACAAATGGTTTTTTAATTTTTTTTTAGAAAGTTTCTGGCTTATCAACTGCCTTATTGCAATGAATCTCAGAGTCAGTTAACAGTAAACAAAATACATTGGCTGTAAGCGCATGGAGCAGCTATTCTGTGCGCACTATACGCACGTCTTAAAATTATTACATCTCCGAGAAAAATTATCTTTAATACATTTTCAAAGTCGCAAAATGTTGGTTTTTAATCGTACTACAACTGTGAAAAACGTTTATGGTAATATTTTTTATGCATCTATGGTAAAAATGCTTGTAAACAAATTACTTAGCTCATTTTCATAAGAAAACATTACTTTAAAGTGATTAAACATTTTTCTCAACGTTATTTGGGGCTACTGTCACAATTTATTGTAAAGTTTAGATTTTTGGCTTTAAAATGAGAGGTGTTAAAGCTTTATATCCTGAAGAGAAGCCGAGTTATGAGCGAAAAAGTTTTTAAAACCGCCGTTCTTTAAATTTTTTGCACTAAATTTGCAATGACTCTGGCTCTAATCAACATTTAAAAAAAATTCTTGATCAGGCACATTTCTGAGGAGTTTAGTTATCAAACTGTTTAGTTATTATTTTAAACACGCTCCCTACTGTTTGTTAACATGTTACAAACATTTAAGTTGTTAATAATAATTTTTTGAACAATTTTACAAAAAAACGAGTTTTAAATTCGGATTCTGTGGTCATTTATACATCGAAAATGCTTACTCGTTCTCGTGGAAGTCAATCGGCTACGAAAACCCCCCTAGCTGCCGTACTATACATCCTTTGTGATTCTAAAAGTCTTTAAATGCGTATTGTTGTAAGGGAAAAAGTTTTGAACTTTTACAGCCCAAATGGGTACTAGACTCAGACAGATGAAGTGTATTGGACTGTTAGCGTTCAAAAAATCAAACTGTAAGGGTACGAAACAACTTGAACTGTTACAAACCAATGATTCTATATTATAAAGTCCAATATTTATATTCGTATGCTTTGGCACTATAGCGAGCTGTGAGAGCCCAAGGAATGGGGTGCCACAGCTCGATCGTTTGTACTGTAGACACCGATCGCTGAAGCTCAGCTCAACGCAACTTGCAGCGCCTTTTACAAGTACACTAGAAATAAAATATACCAGAAATCGTCGTAGTTTGTTATGTTGGTGATAAAGAAACACAACATTTCATGATAAGAAAAGTTTATAAAATAAATAAAGATTCGTACTTTTTTGTATTTGCAATGAATACACTATTCAAAAACTGTTCAAGTTCAACCAAAAAAGTTATGTTTTAAATTAAATAGGCTACGTACGGTAGGTGTAAGTTACGTTAGTTAAAATGTCTTTTTAAAAATATACAAATCTTATGTGTTTCAGCCCTATGGAAACTATTATCTATGTATTGTCCAGAGCGCGCGGTGGCTCGGTCGGCTAGGTCGTGGATTGGCACGCGGGAGACCGTGGTTCCATTCCCGGCCAGTGCGACATTGTCGGGCAAGTACCTCTGTGATTGTTCACATGTGCTTTTTCACCACGCAATGCTCCTCGAGGAGGGTTTAGGCGATCTTCTCGCAGCAAAAATTGCCTAATTTCCCCCTACCCCCTCCCAATAATGGGAGGCCTCCCATCCCCTTTCCTTGTCCCTTTTCCAAGTGCTAAGTGCCCATAGTAGTGCCCTTATTAAAGAAGCCGGACGTAGAGCACTATAATATATATAAAAAAAAAAAAAAATCTATGTATTGTAGCTCACTATTGTATAGTATAGTATAGTATTAAGATTTCAACGTATACCCATTCTAAGGTTTTTGTGCAAACTATATCCCTAATCTCTACCTTACTTGTTTTTCTTCCGTAATTGTCGTCCTATTTTTCCCAAATATGTGAGTCTTTTGTGCAGGACCCCTGCAAAGTTCCCCTCAGACGATTCGGTCATCCATCCTACTAGGCACTATTTACAGGGCGCAGTGATTATCTTAAGCACACCAATGATATTGTTTATATCAAGTTTAATGGAAAGATATTTTTCCAGTAAGACATCTAACTTGCTGTACCGACTTTTTTATAACAGACAGTGACTTTACCCGATGAGCTGGCCAGGTGTTGGCTTTTTTTCTGTAAGGAAGCCGCTAGAGGTCCATACATAACTAGAAAAATCGACTATTTGTTTTCAAAATCAGATAAGTGATGTTTCGGCATCCTGGGTACTCATCCCATCGGAAAAGACCAAAAAAATCTTTTAATTGTGCATTATAAGTTTTCAATACCATTTTTTTGTATTTAAAGTTTAATTAAGAAGAATTCAATAAAAATGTACAATGCAAAAATGTTATCCAAATTTAATCTATGTCTGATCGTCCAAATCCATGACAATCGTTTCGTGTTTTGCAACAAAATACAACATTTGAGTTTATATTTAATAGTACTTTTACCAGTGAAATAAAGTTTTTATTCTGTTAGCGTTGAGTATGCAGTCACATTGTATTTGTTAAATAAAATTAAATAAAAAATGTTCTTAAAGTTTGTGAAGTATATTTTTTTTTTAGCACTTATATTAAATTCTTTCCTTAACAGCATACTGTTGGCGATTTTGTGAGTGTGTGTGTGTGTGAGTAGCGGGTATGCGCAAGCGCGTGCATGTTTATATGTATACATAAAAAGCAATACAAATTGTGGTGAGCTGATCTCCAGCAATCGATGTCTAACAGTATAAATGATCGAGCTGTATCATCTTACTCCTTGAGCTCTTACAACCCACCACAGTGCCAAACCCTGTAAGCACAAACATTAGACTCTGTGATAAGCAATTCTTGATTTGTAAGAGTTCAAACAGTTTTGTACTCTTAGAGTAATAATTTTGATGTCTATAATGTCAAGTACTTGTACTGCAAAAACCGAGGGCACTTTTAAACTCTCAGAGTTCAGATTCTGGTGTTCTGACAGTACTAAATTATTCTCCGTGTGGTAACATGTTTAAACAGTCTTGTCTCGATAATTCATCCTTCTTGAATTAGCGACAGACTGTCAAATGGTTAATCGACATTAAACAAAGTACACGATGTCATAAAAAACTGTTAATTAATACTTTTGTACATGTTAAAAGAACGTTAAAAAATGTGATGTATGCAGTTATAACTATTACATTTTATTAACCAATATGGTTTGGAGGTGTTTTAGTGCGTTGCATTAAGACAGGCTCTCGTCGACGTGAAAACGTTGTCAGGGCTGGAAAAATGCAACGTTACAGTGTCATATCTGATTTTGATGGATATTTCTGCATTCGTTTAATTAATAATGGTCTGTATTTGTATTTTGACGCTATCAGGGCTGCCCTCGGTGATAAGACCGGGAGACATTGTCCTGGACATTAGTTTTGAGCGTAGTTAGCATTTTATTCTCTATAATTATGTAATCTATTTACTGTTCCCCTTTGCGCGTCGGTGGTTCAGCCCTCGCGGTATCGTAACGAAGCGACGCAGAGCACTTGCTCTTTTCTTAGCGAGATGTCAGCCTGGGCGTTCTTGCTCACGCGAGAACAATTTTGCCATTTATCTAGTTTTGATTTTCGTTAAGTTCCTCGTCGATTCTCATCAGGTTGTAACACGAGCCCCTTGCCTTGCTCACTCA